ACCAACAAAATGTTTGGAGCAGACAGGCCACGGCCGACCGGTATCGGTCTGAAGCAGGCGAAGCCAAGTCAAGTCCTATATTTAGCTGCTACTAGCAGCGGCTTATAACTTGTTCATTTTGCGAGATGCAGAAGCATTGCTGCTGCTTGTGCGTTAAGGCAACTTGGGCACCTCACGCCTGAGAAAGAAGAGGGCGCCGGACTGCTACTCCATAGCTAGGGCACAGTAGAGGCAGGGAGTAAGGCGGCCGTAGCAGCTTAGGTTGAAGCTTACCTGAGTGAGTGGATCCAGGGTGACGAACCCTGGACCAGAGAGAAAGATACAGTGAGGCAGAGCGAAACAAGTCAAAGAGAGAGTCTGGTTGATATCCGTTGTGCATGCGTTTGTGCGGCGGAGCCGCGGGAGATGAACATTTCTTGTATGATGAGAACAATTTTGGAGACGACATCTTCCTGTGTTGATTGTATCTCGGTTTGGCTTCTCTCGTGTGAACTCTCATATGAGTGTTCACTGATGTACGCAAGGTGGAATGATGAGTACTTGGTTCATTTCAGTTGGAATCAACCAATTCCTAATCTCCCACTTGATTGTCTCACCCCTTGACAACCACCGACAACAATCATCAAAAGCGCTAGTGTCTACGTGTGCACATTGACCCGCCCCTGTGCCCAAGCAGAATGCCGCTGAAAAGCACAGTCCATTTATTTTAAGTCGCATGCGGTATGACTAAGGATCCTTGCCAGAGCATCTTTAACGACAGTCTGGTGCCCGTCGCTCCCCCATAGTACTGGTCTCACAGCACCTACTTCTATGCGCAGCAAGGCACAAATGACTTCAGTGCTAGCATGCATAAACTACTCCCAGTGGGTTGACTTTCGTCCAACCTGGGCTCTTCACAGACACTGCCCTTCTCCCACCGGAATGCGCCAGAAGAAGGTCCACTCTCATGGTAAAGTGTACTGTCACTCCTTGCCATGAGAGGACTCTCACGATTGAACGCATGCCTTCATGGTAAGACGTAGCGAAGACGGTAGATAAGGTTAGAGGCAACATACCTCGATATCGGCCCCCCAACCACAAATTTCTCACAATAAGTGAAAATGTGCATTTCGTTGACCCTCGATAGCATTGGAACCTTGGAAGATTGTTACACCCGGTCGGGCATACGTGGGCGTGCAAAAAATAAAAATAAAATTGTTTTGGTTTTTGTGATTTCCCAGGGGACCCACGGACTCTTTCCTTTTTTGGAGAGATGGCTGTCAAGGGGGGGGAAGGGGGGTATAAATTGGTTTTAAAGGAATTAAAGGGGTTGAAACGGGGGTGCCTAAGTGTGATTCTGTTATTTTCTTTCCTTGTCACCGATTCTGTGAGGAATTCTGATGTCACCCTCAGCCAAAAGTCGTTAGTATTGCAATTCTAATTTTTTTTTTCTCGGGATTTTCTTTTGTCTGTTGGTTTTGTTTTTTGGGCGTGGGGGCTGACTGGAACCCTGCCCGGGGGTCATGCCCGGCCGGACACGCGGGCATTTATCTGGCCATAAGTTGGGTGCGCGGGCACCAGGAACAAGCATTAGAATGCAAGTGCCTCTGTTGCCAAATGCCACGCCGTCTTGCCAACAGCATGATCGTACTCACACTGCACGTGTGCCAACACCGTGTATACCACAAAATCAGACAGCACTGGAGCCAAGGAGTAAGCCTACGAACAGGCTCTCGTACCAAAACCGTGTGCACCGCAGAATCACACAACACTGGAGCAAAGGAGTAAGCCTACGAACAAGCTCGGATACCAAATTGCAAGGAAAACGAGTGAAGCAAATGACAGAAAATAAATTGCATCATCAATTGCAAGGAAAATGAGCAAAACGAATCACAGAAAACAAATCGCAGCATCCATTGAGATTCATATTGTCATGTGCCAAACAGAAAGCTAAATGCCACACTAGATACACCGAACAAGAGCGAAGCAATGAAGCCTATTGCAGTGAAAGCCCTCTCCTTGCCTCCAACATGAATATCTCCAATGTTGCTCTTCTATATGGCTCTCGGCGCCGAGACTATTGACAGAAGCACCCACGACCTAGGACTTGACAACGACGTCAACAGGTCTTTGAGAAGAGCAGCAGCAGCCTGATGCCAAATCTAGACCCTGGCTATGGCATCGATCTCCGCTCGCCATCAGGTCTTTACTCTCTCCCCAAGCACCCGCACTCATCCCTTGCACACCCACTCACATAGCACCTGTTGCATGCCGTATAGGCGCAGACTAGAACAAGAACCGACCTTTCAATACAAAGTATAAGATAGCACAGCGGAAGACTTAGATACCAGTGATCCGAACAGTCAATGTTGTAATGCAGCCCGGAACATACATCATCATCATCGTTTCATAGTGTGAATGGGTCTGGCGCTTCACACAGGAAGACAGCGCCAGCCCAGAACATGCACATACGAGGAGGAAGGGGATAGACGAAGAGGAGGGGAAAGATGGGAATGTCGTCAACACCAAGTCTTCGGCACAAGCCCAAATAGTCCCTCGTCGAACTGTCTGAATCCCAAATGTCAAGTCTGGATCCAATGTCGTCAAGTCTCCAGTCACAACTCTGTCTCTCTSTGTCGTAGTCGGAGAAGTCAGGTGGCGAGAGGGTGAGAAGAGAAGGTGGACTWAGAAGAGGAAGAAGAAGAACTCTCTCTCTCTCTCTGTGTCCAGTACTAACCTGTGAAGTTGGCGCCTTGATGCAGGTACCGCGAWGATGGAGCTGGAGCGATGGCGCCACAGGTAAGTAACAYTGGCCTCCGCCAGTCTCTCTCCCAMTCTGCGATMTACTACCTACYAGCGCCCAGCGCTGAAGACTACAKCTACAGCTATGGCGCCCARCGCCGAAGGCTACAGCTWGCGCTACCACTWYTGCCTAGCGCTGAASACTACTGCAGCGCTCCTCCTGAGTGCTGCGGMCGAATCCAGAAGACTACCTCTGCCTACTGACCTTTTCCTGCAGGGCGGGCCAGTCCTTTATAGTGCTGGCCCGTGCAGGAGGCTGGCCGTGCCAATGCCTCCTTGGCCTAGACCCTGCGGAAGCTTTCAGGCAAGAGCCTGGAAGTTCCCTGAAATTTCCCTGTAGGGAAACAGGCTGGGGCCTGTAGGCCCTGTCAGAAGGAAGCTTCCAGGCAAGATGTCAGAAGGAAGCTTCTAGGCAAGAGCCTAGAAGTTTCCCTGTAGGGAAACAGGCTGGGGCCTGTAGGCCTTGCCAGAAGGAAGCTTCCAGGCAAGAGCCAGGAAGTTTCCCTATAGGGAAACAGGCTGGAGGTCCGGGACGGGCCCTGCAGGGCCCGTGTGGCCGCACAGTATGCCACACCCAACCCTCCTTGAAAGACCGAGCTTACCTACGAGGGCGAAGTTGTCTATCTGAGGGAGGGACCACAGTCCGGGTGGGTGGGGCTGGTCGTGGAGGTCCCTTGGCTAACCTCTGTCGCTCGTAGTGAGCGTAGATCAGCGGTGCAGACACTTTCAAATCTGCTCCTGAAATCCACCGAGTGTCGTCGGGATCGCATGCTCTGAATGTAACTTCGTACTGGCGCGGCTTGCTGCCATACTTGCGATCTGAGATGTCGCGGTCAACCTCCTGATGACCATCCATAGGAGGGTCCTGTGATCGTCGGCCCGGGAAGTCATCGCTCTTAGCTGGTGTATATGTTGCCAGCTTTGACGCATGAAAGACTGGATGGACCGTCAGATGCTCAGGAATGTCGATCACAAATGAAGGGCCATCGGGCTCATCCCCCGCAGTTCATGTCATTGTCCATGGTCCAAACCACTTAGGGAGTAGTTGCGTGAGACATCCTGTTCCAATGCAAACTCTTTTGAGGAGACCCAAACTCGATCTCCGGCGCGGATGGGACATGGTACTAGGCGCCTGTTGGCTTGCTGCTGCATGCAGACTTGAGCCTTTTGCATGTTTGTACGGGCTTGAGCCAGCAATTCCTGTACTTCCGGACGGAAGCGGGAGAGCAAGCGGCGTCAATGTCAGCTGGTCGAGGGAGGAGAAGATCAGTGAAGATACGGCCTTTCCGTCCACCGTGGTGCAACTCGAATGGAGTCACATCGATCGCCGGGTGCATTGAAGTGTTGTAGGCGAACTCGATGTCGGGGAGGCGGTCAACCCAATCCTTCTGGTCCGGACGGATGAGCGTATGAAGCATCATTTGAGCGGTCTGATGTGCCCGCTCCGTTTGCCCGTCTGTCTGTGGATGCCGAGTCGAACTGGGTTTCATCGTCGTGCCGGACTCGTGGATGAGAGAGGTCCAAAAAGTCGACATGAAACGAGTGTCGCGGTCGCTGACTATGTCCTCGGGTACGCCGTGGCCACAAATCCAACCGGTGTGCAAGAGGCGTGCCAGCTCGGGAGCCGTGGAGTAGTATTTGCAAGGAAGAAAACGTGCGTACTTGCTTAATCGGTCCACAACCGTGAGGATGCCGTCGTGCCCGAGCCGGTCTCGAGGAAATGGACCGGTGACATCCATAGCAATGGAGATACCGGGTTCCCGGGGGATAGGCATCGGGCGTAACTCGCCATAGGGATTGCGGTTGCGGGGTTTGCTGCGTCGGCAAACTTCGCAAGAATCGCAATACCGCATGACATCGGAAATGAGGTCGGGCCATCGGAATCGTTGTCGAAGCCGTGCAATCGTGCGATTGACTCCGAAATGGCCGGCGAGTCGCGAATCATGATACTCGCCGAGAAGGCGAGTCCGAAGACGGCGGTTGCGTGGGATAAGTCCTTGCCTCTCGAGTGGAGGAGCAAGTACCTGTCGACAATGCGATAGTGGCTGGCCGGCGGGTGATCCGAAGATAGCTGCGCATACAACGTAGCAAACTCTGGGTCAGACTGATAGCCCCTGATGAAGTGTCGTTGGAGGTCCTCGTCGAACGCGAAGGCGTGATGCGTCATAGCGCAAAGATCAGGTCGTCGCGAAAGTGCATCTGCTGCGCGATTGGAGAGGCCGTCAACGTGTTTCGGTGTGAAGTCAAACTGGTCGATGAAGTACATCCACCGTCCAATCGTGCTGCTCACCATGTCCTGCGTCTTCTAGTAGGTCAATGGGTTATTGTCCGTGACCGATGTGAACCTACGACGCCCAAGAAGGAAGTGCCGCCATCGCTTAAGAGCCATGACGAACGCAAGTAGCTCCTTCTTCCTTGCATCGTCCAGAGAATTGATGGGAGGCACTTTGTGGCTGAAATACTCCAGAGGGTGCCAATCCTCGCCGTCGTGCTGCTCCAAGACTGCCCCAATGCCGTAACCGGAAGCATCAGTCGTCACTCTCGTAGGCAGAGTGGGGTCGTAGATGCTAAGGACGGGTGCCATGAGCATGGCCGTCTTGAGTGCTTGGAAAGCCTGGCGAGCGTCGTCATCGAATACGAATGGCACCTTTGGCGATTGTAGCCTCGTCAGAGGTGCGACAATCCTTGAGTATCCGGTGATGAAACGCTGATAATAGCCTGCCAACCCCATGAATGAACGAACGTCCGTGGTGTTGGTGGGCTCGGGCCATACGCGGATGGCCTCGATCTTGTACGCAAGCGGACGGATGCCTTGCGGCGTCACGTAGTGTCCCAAGTACTCCTGCTCCTGCTGTGCGAACTCGCACTTGTCGCGGTTTGCTTTGTACTTGGCCTGTCGTAGCCGCTCCAAAACGGTGCGCAGGTGTTCCACATGCTCGTCCAGACTCCGGCTGTAAACTAGAATGTCGTCGAGGTATATAACTACGAAACGATCCAGCATGTGGCGGAACTCCGTCGTCATAGCGGCTTGGAAAGTGGCTGGGGCATTCGTGAGGCCAAATGGCATGACCAGCCATTCGAAATGCCCATACCGAGTCTTGAACGCGGTCTTGTAGCGATCCTCCTTGCGAATCTCGAGTTGGTGGTACCCTGAATTGAGATCCAACTTAGAGAAGAACTGGGCGCCGCCCAATCGCTCGAGAAGGTCGTCGATGCGTGGGAGAGGGCCGGCGTTCCTGATCGTCTGCGCGTTGAGCTTGCGATAATCGATGCACAACCGCA